TTGGTCAAAATGAAGATTTTTTTTTTTTTTTTTGGCTGGGGCTGGGTTTGAACCCACCACCTCTGGCATATGGGGCTGGCACCTTACTCCTTTGAACCAGAGGCATCGCCCAGATTTTTTTTTTTTAAATGAAGGTTCTTGAGCAGCACACTACACAAATTCAGAAACACTAAGGTAGGCCTAGAAACAAGCATTTAAAATAAGCTTCTCAGAGGTGACTTTTATACTCCCTATTAATAATTATTAGTTGGCTCGGTGCTCATAGCACAGTGGTTGTGGCACCAGCCACATACACCAAGGCTGGCGGGCTTGAACCTGGCCTGGGCCAGCTAAACAACAATGATAACTGCAACAACAAAAAAATAGGCGGGTGTTGTGTTGGGCGCCTGTACTCTGAGCTACTTGACAGACTGAGGCAAGAGAATCACTTAAGCCCAAGAGTTTGAGTTTGTTGTGAGCTGTGACGCCACAGCACTCTACCTAGGGTGACATAGTAAGACTGTCTCAAACAAAAACAAAAAACAAAAAAAGGAATTATTAGTCTAGCTCCTAAAGTAACATGGATTTAATGAATTCTACTTACCAGTGCTATTTCATGCTTACAGTCTATACCCTGATCTTAGCCAGCCAGTCTGCAAATGTTTGCTGGATAACATGATGATCTGATACAAATCTGGCTCCAGTGCTAGAAAAAACACACAGCACTGTCTTGCAGTGGGCCAGAAGTCACCTTCACATAAAAGGGAAATATATTAGTTTTGGTTTCCTTTTAGAACTCTGATGGGTTAATTTATCTGCAGATTAGTTACACTAGGAAAAAGCACATTAAACCTACTAACTATATGGAGATAGCCAGGTAACAGGATAAAGCAAAGTAGAGCAGGAGGTCCAGAGAACTCCTGGTTCCAGTGTTTTGTTTTTAACATGGTCAAATCCTATATAACTTTTCTGGATCTAAATAACTCTACGTGTCTTCCTTTTGATTTCAAAGGTCTTTTTCAGCTCCAAAATTCTTTTTTTTTAAGCTCCAAAGTTCTTATTCTGCAACAAGATTTGTTTTTAAAGATATTATTTTGAGATGGGGACAAGAGATGAAATATGGAGCTGAAATCAGGATAAGTTCATCTTTAATCCACTTAATAGCTTCTTTACAATTAATTTCCATTACAGGTCTGAATCCAATTATTCAGCAAAAAGCAGAATGAGATCACCTTCTAACATCTCTCCAGCTCCTTTGGGGTAGGTGAAAAGTGCTTTCCGTGGTGGGGCAAGGTCTGAGACACTGAAACCTGATCCAGTGACAGAACTTCCACTGACCCCACCAGCTGAGGATGATGATGAAGAGGCAGCCATTTCCACGACAGAATTCTTACTTCACTACAGAGAAAGAAAAACAGCAATTGGCAAGTTTATGGAAATGAGATTGACAATATTTCATTCTAGCTGCTACAAGGGCCGGTTTATTAAAGTATTAGCTCCACTTCTTTCTACCCTCTACTCTCACAATCTTTTATTGCTACCTCAGGCCAAAGTGTCACTCAGGTTTTGAAGGGAAATATGTTTAAGAATAATGTGTCTACTTAAAAACACTAATTCATGCCATTATTAACAAACTGTTTATGTCACTGGGGATTGACTGCGAGCGATTTAGGAGTTATGAAGGGTGATCTGGCAGTGCCAAGGCAGAACTTTGACAAATTAAATTATGTGAGGATGAAACAACCACACTCCACAGGACAGTTTGTCTTGGATACATTTTGACCAAGCCACACTGAGAAATTCACTTATAATATTTTCCAAATAAAATTCCAGAATAACACTGTGTTCTGTACCCAAGGAAGGGAAACTGCTTAGGAAATATTTATTGGCTCTTTCATTCAACCTTTTCATCCAAATGTAATACCCAAATTTATCACTTGGTGGCATCTCAAAACTAGAACAAAGTAGCTCAGGAAATTATCTTAGAAATCTTGGTCTATTATGAGTACAGCAGCTGTGAGTGTTTAATCCTGTGTCATATCAAAAATTTAAATGTAAATGAGAAAATCTGCACTGAATATATGACTCCTTACAAAAGTTCAAAACAAAACCCCTCTCTTAGCTTCAGAAGCTTACACCACATTAATAAAAGCTTCTAAATGGTGTACAAATACAGCATTTTCTACAAACAAAAAAAGATCTAGTGTGGTGCAGTCTAATAGTACTCTCTGCCATGATGGAAATGTTCTAGTGTTCTATTTCTTCACTGTCCAATAAGGTAGCCAATAGCCTCATGTTGTAGCTATAAATTAGTGTAATTGGAGAACTATATTTCAATTTTTTTTTTTTGAGACAGAATCTTACTCTGTTGCCCTGGGTAGAGTGCTGTGTTGTCATAGCTCACTGCAACCTCAAACTCTTGGGCTCAAGTGATCTCTTGCCTCAGTCTCCCAAATAGCTGAGGCACCTGCTGGCTAGTTTTTCTACTGTTAGTAGAGATAGGGTCTCACTCTTGCTTAGGCTGCTCTCAGACTCCAGAGCTCAAGCTATCTATCAGTCTCAGCTGCCCAGAGTCATGAGGCCTATTAAGTGTTAATTAAAATTTAAATGGCTACATGTGGATAGCATTGGATAGTGAACTTTTAGTGGTTAAATTAAAAATGACTTTACACAGACTTGTATGCTTTTTAAAATGGCTAGTGGTTAATTTTATTATATTTTTTTAGAAACAGTCTTACTCTGTTTTCCATGCTGGAGGGCAGCAGCCCAATTATAGCTCACTCTAACCTCAAATCCCTGGGCCCAAGTGATCCTACTTCCTCAGCCTCCTTAGCAGCTGGGATTAGAGGCGTAAACCACACTCAAGCTATTTTTTAAATTTTCTGTAGAGATAAAGGCTCATTATGTTCCCTAGGCTGGACTTGAAACCCTGGTCTCCCAAAGTTCTGGGATTACAAGCAAGAGACACCATGCCTGGCTAAAATGGCTAATGTTTATCTTTATGTTATGCGAATTTTTTTTTTTTTTAAGAGACAGAGTCTCACTTTATCATCCTCAGTAGAGTGGCATGGCATCACAGCTCACAGCAACCTTCAACTCTTGAGCTTAAGTGATTCTCTTGCCTCAGCCTCCAGAGTAGCTGGGACCACAGGTGCCCGCCACAATGCCTGGCTATTTTTTGTTGCAGTTTGGCCAGGGACAGGTTCGAACCCATCCACCCTCGGTAGATGGGGCCAGTGCCCTACCCACTGAGCCATAGGTGCCGCCCTGTTATGTGAATTTTAGTCCAATTTAAAAACAAACAAAAAAAATACCTGAGCAAAACAGTGAGACCTTATCTCTACAAAAATCTTCCTGCTGAGGCAGGAGGATCACTTAAGCTTAGGAGTTTGAGGCTGCAGTGAGCTATGACTGGGCCACTGCATTGCCAGGGTGACAGGTGAGACCCTGTTTCCAAAAAAAGTTGTAAATATATATATAAAATCCAGTTTCATAGTAAGGAAAATGATATACTATGTCTTGAAATGTTAGTTTGGCACCTGTAGCAGAGTGGTTACAGGGACAGCCTCACATATTGAGGCTGGAGGGGTTTGAACCTGGCCTGGGCCAGCTAAACAATGAGAACTGCAAGAGAAAATAGCTGGGTGTTGTGGCGGGTGCCTGTAGTCCCAGTCACTTGGGAGGTTGAGGCAAGAGAATTGCTTAAGCCCAAGAGTTTGAGGTCGCTGTGAGCTGTGATGTGATAGCACTCTACCAAGAGTGACATAGTGAGACACTGTTTTTAAAAAAAAAAAGAAATGTTGGCTGTTGTTTCATTAATTTTGTGGTGACAACTTAAGATTCTCAGAGAAGGCGAGCTTGATTTCTAACGCCAATTAATACTGAAGTAGGCTATGAGAATAGTAAGGCAACAATTATAATTAGACTGTCAGCCTATTAAAAATGCTAACTGATTGTGGTAGGCACTTATAGTCCTAGGTACTTGGGAGGGTGAGGCAAGAGGATCACTTGTGCCCAAGAGTTTGAGGCTGCTATAAGCTATGACTCCACAGCATTCTACTGAGGGCAAGAAAGTGAGACTGTCTCGAGAAAAAAAAAGTGCTAACTGATTAATATTTTCAGATTACCTTTTCTATTTTCTTTTTTCTATTTTATTTATTTATTTATTTATTGCCGTTTTGGGCTGGGGCTGGGTTTGAACCCGCCACCTCCCGCATATGGGATCAGCGCCCTACCCTTTTGAGCCACAGGTGCCACCCACCTTTTCTATTTTCTACAAGCTCTGTTAATTTCCCAAATTGTATTCATATACATGGTGGCAATAATTTTTCTTCTTTTTTTTTGGAGACAGAGTCTCACTATGTTGCCTCTGGTATAGTGCCATGGCATAACAGCTCATAGCAACAACCTCAAACTCTTGGGTTTAAGCGATTCTCTTGCCTCCGCTTCCCAAGTAGCTGGGACTGTAGGCACCTGCCACAATGCCCAGCTATTTTTGTTGTTGTTATTGTAGTTGCATTGTTGTTTAGCAGGCCCGGGCCAGGTTTGAACCCGCCAGCCCCAGTATATGTGGCTGGCGCCCTAAGCACTGAGCTATGGATGCCAAGCCAATAATTTTTCTTTTTTTTTTTTTTTT